TTCAAATGCATAAGCAGACTCCTGTGCACATGAGAAGTGCTCTTTATGTTTTAAGAAAATGTTTTATTCCATCTTGTCTCTCCCTTTCTTTCTTACTCAGTGGTACCTTATGGACATCACTCTAATAAACCAGCAAAATGCTGATTCATTATTTTGATGGTCCCCAAATTTCTCATGATGTGGCTGTGCCATTTACACTTTTGCTGTTCTTTTATATTCTTTATCAAAATTGCTGATATACCTATACAACTAAAACATTTTGAGATGGTTAATGAAAACTGTGGCTCTTACCGGGGCAATTTTGTTCCAAAGGGGCATTAGCAGCATCCAGAGATGCTTTGGGCTGTGACATTGGGGAGGGGTGGGTGGAGGCCTGCAATGCACAGAACATACCCCACCTCAGACGATGATCTGCCCCAGAATGCCAATCGTGCTGAGATTGAGAAATTCTGAATTAAAGAAAATCTCTGTTTTTAATATTTAGAGCTGAGCTCTAAAATATTTCTTACTTCTCACATCCACTGCATAACAGAGATGGAATATCCTGAGATTATAGACAAAGAACCAAAGGCCTAAAAGTTCAGTTTCCTGTCATGAGGGAAATACATGAGAGAGATGTGTAAACTTGTGTATGCAGAAGCTGAACTACTGAGGCCAACTTTTGATTACAATGTCAGACCTAAGCTGTGTGAGAGCGTTCCTAGTGGAGGAGGCCTCAAAATACCTACATGTGTCTCTAACACTGGACCACAGTGTGGACACTCAGAGTGGTCCACGGATCAAACCTGCAGCATCAACATCAACTGGGAGCAGTCACAAATGCAGAATCTCTGGACCAGCCTTACTCGCGCTGAATCAGAATCTGAATTTGAACAAGATCCACAAGTGATTTGTATGCACTTTGATGGTGGAGATGCTCTGGTTTAGAATAGTATTTCTCAATCTTCCCACTGTTGACATTTGTGCTGCACAGTTCTTTGTGGTGGAGGCATTCTGTGCATTGTAGGACACTGAGCAGTACACCTGGCCTCAACCCATTAGGTGGCAGTTGTACTTCTGCAGTTGTGAGAATCAAAAACATCTGCAGACAGTGCCAAGTGTCCTTGCAGGCAAAATTACCCCTGGTTGATGACTCCTGGCATAGAGCATGAGAACCGAAAACAACTTGGAGTTTCAACAAGAACTCATCACTTACTCAGTCATAACTTTGGAGAAGTCACTTTACCCTTCTGAGCCCCATTTCTGAAAATGTAAAGTGAGGTTCATAATAGGGCTGACCACATAGAATGGACTTTTAAAAACTTAAATGAGATAAGCCATATAAGAACCTAAGCTAGGTTTATGGTGCATAAAAGCATCTAAATATGTGTTATAAGTAACTAACATTTACAAATGAAGGACTAAATGATAGCTCTTAATTTGTGCTAAAAGAATGAGACACCTAATAGAGTTGTTAAAAGTGCAATGAAGCCAATGGTTATGGTACCTATGGTTTTATATCAAAGGAACACACTATTCTTCCTTGTTGAAGACAGGAATACCAATTTTCTATAGATATCAAGAGCTGCTCCCCCCCACAAGTCAATAATTTGGAGCCTCAAGTAACTTAATCAAGTCAGATTCCTCCATCTAGATTTGGAGAAAACACTAAATCAAGGTTGAGATAAATGCAAGGGAGGTTAGACTTCTTGAAGTCAAATGAGTACATGGAGAAGGAGTAATAAAAAATGAATTCACTTCATTTCTAATCTGGTCTCTTGAGAAAAGAGAGTCAACAGGAATAATTTCTGTTGTGTCCAGACCAGTGTTTCACAGGGAATTGATGCACTCAGAGGTGGGAGTAACAATGCAAACAGCGCCTAGTGAGCAGACATAGGGAGCTGTAAACATCTCCTCTGTGACAGTCTATCCACATGTGCAACCTTTGAGCTGGACAGGGGATGGTTACTGCTCATGGAATCTTAAGTTTGGTTTGGGAACTGATGTTTGACTGCTTCCTGCTGTAGTGTCTGGAAACACAGATTCAATCTCTAACAACAATCATCCAGGAAGGAATTCAGATTTCCACATGAAGACCTTTGTCCCAGAGACCCCATCCAGGTGAGTCTGAGAGCTCACCGGGTACTTCATAAAAGGTTCAGAGAGAGTGGAAGAAGAGAACTTTTACCTGAGGTCACCTGGGAGCCAAACCAGTCTAGCCAAAGCTGAAATATTGCCATTTTTGGCTGAGTAGATTAACTAACTTATAATTAATTTATTTAATATGTTAAAAGTGAGAAGCATCCTTTGAACTCAGAAATACAAAGGTTGTTGTTACAATTAAATGATGGGACAAGAAGTCCAGTTGGATAAGAATGAAGAAGTAATGGGAGGTGTAAAACATTTCCAGTAAAATTAGAACATATCTGAGTTTTGCAGTTCATAGGAGTTGTAAAATATAGTTATGTTTGGAAGTACGTATAGTAAGCTAAAGACATTTTTTAAATATTTAAGAGGGGTGCATTTGAACATGTTCTGTATTTATTAGAAATTCCAGACAATGGAGGTAGGTATTACTTTGCAACAACAGTTCTTGAGAGGTACATTTTACAGTATTGTCTCCATGTTGGATAGCCAATAAAAAAATGTATTTATTATGCAGAAAAGGTATGTTACAGAGTTTTATTTTACAATTATTTCATCCCCTAGAGTGGGGAAGCAATGGAGACACTCGAGAGGTAGCAGAAAAAAATTGGTCTCAATTTATAACCAGTGATAGTCATTCATTTACTAACAGGAAGAAGATATTTTAAGCATTTTTCACATACTGACTAAATCTGTCGACCACCTACAGACTATTTGGGTGAGGATATTAACATTTACAATGGTCCTTTGGCTCTCCATAGACAAACAGTTAATATGTGGTAGTTCCAAGATTCAAAACTCAGTTTCCAATTGCAGAATTTTTGCATTTAATACTATTAAAAAGTCTTTTACCATTACATTTTTAAAAACCCCTCACAATACTTGCATGTTGTGTATTTTCTGTTATAAATCGAGGGCCCATTCGCTATGCTCATTTTTCTCGTCAGACGTTCGATTAGTAATATGTCTCATTATTGTAAGATTAAGTTATCTTCTCTTGAGGATAAACTGTGAGTTTTTTTGCTGCTTTCTCAGTTATTCTGAGCATCAAGGGGATTTAACTGGAGTTGGAATGCGCCAGAACCAAGGAAGTTTTCTCTTCATCACAATTGCTAGGAACCAACTGAGCTTGTTTGATTTTTTTTTTTTCGCTTCATCTGTATCTTTCTTCTCTCAGTTTTTGAAGTGCTGTTTATGTTTTCTTAAATACGGGACCCAATGTTTATATGAATATGGAGTCCCATGTTTACATGTTCATGGGAGGCTTACAAGCTGGAATTTGTGTACACTTACATGCTTTTGTGCAAAGATAATCTGATGTTGACATCTTCCTTTGTATCATTTCTTTCCTACTTATTGTGGCTGGGGTCAGAAGTGTCTGGTAGTAGCACGGCCCCAGGAAGTCACAGCACAGTGTGTGTGTGTGTTTGTGTGTGTCTGCTGGTTGTGCGTGTGTGCCTGTGTATTTTGTGGGACTAACACAGTTCTAGGGGCAGTAGTACCTAGCCCATATACTCCAAAACACGACCCTTAAAATACAGATGCCAGAATGTTAGCTAATAGATGGAAATGACAGGATCATTTCTACCCTGGGGATTTCTTGGAAACAAAATTAATAAAGAGCATTTGAATGTAGGGCTCTCTGTGTCTTGAAATTTCAGCTGACACCTGAGCTTATGAGATCTGTTTTCTACTCATCCATTTTATTCTCTCTCTCTCTGTTTACTGAGTAGATTTTTTAATGTTTATATTAATGGATGGCAGAAAATGGCCACCCCAATATGGAGCCCAAGTTTATTTGGGCTTAAGTAGTGGACTTTCTGGGAACCATGTCCATATTACACAGAAGAAGAGATCATTGATCTGGCCAACTTGGGTTGTGTTCATTCCTAGCATTTTCAGTATGCGTGGACCTGAGAAAGACATGGGAATAACACAACCCAGGAGGCCGTGGTGTGCCACAGGTGCATGTGTCTGTGTGACCTGTGGAGTGTGGGAAGTCCTCAGAAGAGGGGTAGCAGGACTCACATATACTAAGGTGACTCTTACAATAGATGGGCCAGTATTCAATCAAGACAAAGTACTATGACAGGGATCTGTTTCAATTCAGAAGATTAAAAAAGGACAAGAGCTAGAGTGGATGAGGTTTCACCTGTAGCAGAGAGGCCACCTCACTCCATAACACTCTGACAAGATCTCTCATCACTCTCTCAGCCTCACGCACTTTGCAATGTTTACTTCACTCTTTTTGACTTGAACATCTGAAAGAAGCACCTTCCATGGGGCCTTTCCACTGACCATTCCCTCTGCCGGACAAACACTTCCCCACGTAAACTTGCATCTCCCTCTTTGTCCTACTTGAGGTCTCTGTTCACATGTCGCCTTGTTTTCAGGTCTTGGCTAAATATGCATGAAAAATAGAATACCCTCTTCACTCTCTCCTTTATGCCTGCTTTCCTTTTCCTCAGCCACCTGCACCATCTGAAATGTTATGTAATTTTATCATTTACCTACACTGCATATTCATCTCCATCATTGAGTTGTAGGGACTTTTGTTTTCAGGATCTTATATGCATGGGCAAGACAGTGCCTAAATCATGGTCAACACTCAGTTTACATTCCTGAAATGCATGAAGAACCTGTCATTAAAACTGTAGAATACATGACCCTTAAGAAAAAATGTTGATTAGGGCAAAAATTCCATATCAGATGTAGCATGAGGGATCCCCAAAGGGGCCGTATCCATAGACATAATATTAACATGAATTTTTTGACTACAAATGATAAATTGTAGCGTTTCAAGTATGTTAGTAATGCGAGTTTGTGTGAAAATTAGTCATTTTATTTCCTTCTTTCCTAGAAGTCACTTCCACCACATGGAACCAGGCAATAATACACAAATTTCAGGATTTCTTCTTCTGGGATTTTCAGAGAAACCACAATGGCAGCTCGTCATATTTGGGCTTTTCCTCACTATGTACCTGATTACTGTGTGTGGAAATCTGCTCATCATCTTGACTGTCAGTTCGGACTCCCTCCTTCACACACCCATGTACTTCTTCCTCTGCAACCTGTCCTTCGTAGATATCTGTTTTACCTCCACCACCATCCCAAAGATGCTGTGGAACATCCAGACACAAAGCAAAGTCATAACCTATGAGGGCTGCATCACACAGATTTATTTTCTCATACACTTTGGAGTGTTGGACATCTTTCTCCTAACAGTGATGGCCTATGACCGGTTTGTGGCCATCTGCCACCCCCTGCACTACACAGTCATCATGAACCACCGGCTCTGTGGACTGATGATTCTGGGATCCTGGATTGTGTGTATCCTGAATTCCTTATTACAAAGCTTAACGGCATTGAGGCTTTCCTTCTGTACCAATTTGGAAATCCCCCACTTTTTTTGTGAACTTAATCAGATGGTCCAACTTGCCTGTTCTGACACCTTTCTTAACAATGTGGTGATGTATTTTGCAGCCGTCCTGCTGGGTGGGGGTCCTTTTGCTGGTATCCTTTACTCTTACTCCAAGATAGTTTCCTGCATACGTGGAATCTCATCAGCTCAGGGGAAGTACAAAGCATTTTCCACCTGTGTGTCTCACCTCTCTGCTGTCTCCTTATTTTATTGTACAGTCTTAGGAGTGTACCTCAGCTCTGCTGCCACCCACAGCTCACACTCAAGTGCAATAGCCTCAGCGATGTACACTCTGGTCACACCCATGCTGAACCCCTTCCTCTACAGCCTGAGGAACAAAGACATAAAGAAGGCTCTGAAATCATTCTTTGTGAAGGAAACTACAATATTGTCCAAGCACTGAAGAAGTGCCCATGTTTGCAGAGATCAAAGCCTCAGGGACAGAAGATATGATCATTTGATCAGAGGTTTGAAGTGATATTGTTCTTTCTATTTATTTCCTGGTATTTCTACTTCTTTCACCTCAACTTCTCTATTCAAGTAACTCCCTTTATTAAGCTTTCTGCTCTCTTTGATAACTAACATTTTTTCCCTTTGTTGTTTTCTTACTTTTCAAAATTTATTCCAGTCATGGATCAGAATATTTTAAATTTCCAATTTGCTTAATGAAACAGCATGGATTTTTTTTAGAATATTTTTTCTCAAACGACATATATCATAACAAATAATTTTTCTTTTGTTTTACTAAAAGAATTATCATGAATTGTATTGCTTGTATGGAAAAAAAAAAAAAACTGCACTTGATGACCAAGGCAGTTTGTATAATTTTATAATAGAGGAACTCTGAGAGCACAATTTTCACTTTATGCCAGGCATTCCTTTGTATGTCACTGTCTCAACTGCTCCTCCATGTAATGTAGACTGTAACACACTGTGGTGATGTGTAATTGGTCACTGGGTTTTATTCTTCTCATTAGGATCTTATGTTCTTTCAGTCTGGTGTCCACAAGGCCCAACCTAGTCACTGGCAAAATGCCCATCAAGCACATTTCTCCCAGAGGACTTTTCATTGAAGGACAGGTTTCAATAAACACAGCGACTTAATATGACCTTAGAATCACAGAGGACTTTCAATTTTATGAAGCAAAACTTACAACAACACCTTGTATTCTGTGCAGAATATTTATTTTTTTCTCTGTACATCTACTCATTGGAGTATGGAGGATTGGTAGCCATGTGTAAACGGTTTTATATTTTTGAAGAAGGATTAATTGATGTTTTTCTACTTTTTATTGAATTAGCTTTTGTTTCTGCTTGCAAACTTCCAGTGTTATTTACAACACAAACGCTTTCATTGCTATAAAGAAAAAATGTTTTCCCCCTTCTAGGTATTGTCATCACTATGAAAGGGATGTTGAATGATCATTATCATTATCATCCATTATGCTCAGGATATCTATCTTTTATGATTAAAGAATGACCCAAAAGAGAGCTTGATTTCCTGTCCAGCCATGTGAATCTGGGTCCCAGTTTTCCTGAACAAACATGCATGTCCTTTCAGTCTTTCCTGGTTACCTGGAAATGAACCCTTATGAGAGGTTTAAAATACAGTTGTCTAAAATAAAATGAAATAACAGAGTAACTACGGATGCTGTCTTCAACAATAAGAACAAATGCCAAGAATAATCAGGAGCAGATTATTATAATTGTCCTCCCTTCTGTTCAATTTGTTTATTGAATCAGTTACCTGTTGCTTCATAACAAGCCATCCTGAAAGAAAAAGATTTAATATACTACCTTTATTACCAAAGGGATTGCATGGTGGGGAGTTGTTCTGAGCTCTGCTGATCTCATCGTGGGTCTGCAAGCTGTGAGTCTCCACATTGTGTCTCTAAGGCTCATCCATTATATTGTGTGAGGCCATGTTGCTCTTCTCACTTGAACCAATATATGATCAGTTAACTCTGTTTCTTTATATATATCTATATATATTTTGAGTAAGATTAGCCCTGCGCTAACATCCCCCACAAATCCTCTTCTTGTTGGTGAGGAAGACTGGCCCTGAGCTCACATCCGTGCCCATCTTCCTCTACTTTATATGTGGGACGCCTGCCACAGCTGGCTTGACAAGTGGTGCCATGTCCGCACCCTGGATCCGAATCAGTGAACCCCAAGCCACCGAAGCAGTTTTACCCAAAAAAAGTGGATCAATTGTAAATTGCTTTAATTTACTTCTACTGTCCCTGTATCCATTGATGACACTTTTTTTCCACCCAGGTAGAAGAGATGTCTCCTACCGCTGCTCAGTGTGAAGCAGCTGCTTGTGCTCTGGATCCTGTCCTGATCTCGGCACCTCTAGAATTTTCCCTTCTTAAGTAATTTGTTGAAGAATAATTACATACTACAAAGTGCACATATTTTACATGTATAACTTGATGAATTAAAAGAGGCATACAAAAATTATGCTACACACACTACATTTCCATTTGTGTAAAATTTAAGAAAGTTCACAATAAACTTTAATGACCTTTTAAGGTAGTTGTTAAAATTGGCTGAGACTTAGTCTTGCCCAAGTCCCCACCCCTGGGGCAGAAACCCACAAACAGGGGGACCTCACAAACCTGGAGCTTCTTCCCAAGGAGTGAGGGACTCACACCCCAATTCAAGCACCTCAACTCTGAAGATCTGTATTTGCAAGACAAGCCTCCAAAACATCTTAATTTGAAAACAATTGGGAATTATGACCATGAGCCCAAATGGATACAGAAAATGGAGAAACTGCTTTTAAGGCGTTTGGGCAAGTACTCACTTGCTTCAGTGTCCAACGCAGAAGCAGCAGTCTGAAAAGTGCCCAGACCATATGTGAAGGGGAATAACTTGCCAACCTTAATGCATCCACCAGAGGGGGAGTGCTCTGTCAAGGTTCTTTCTGAGGAAGGAGGCACTGATGGGTACCATTTTTGCGCTCTCCCTTTGCTTTGGTTAAGTTCCCTCACTGATCTCCCCTCTGCCTCGCTAAAGTGTCAGGCACCCCTCCTGTTCCCCCTCTGCCTTGCTAAAGCCAATGCATGCCATCCCTGCCACCCCCACTGCCTAGCTAATGCCTGCAGGCACACTTCATGAGCTCTCCTTCTGCCACACTCCATAGTGCCAGTGTCTTGTGCAGGGGAGATTGTACATATACCTGGTACCCATGCTTTTTATTGTATCTACAGAGCCCCAGTTTTTAAGGTAGGAGCCTAGGGGACACCACTTGGAAAGCTGGCTCACGAGGCCAGGGGGGCTTGAGCTCTTGGGTCCCATGGACTGTAACCATCAGAGAGACAGTTCTTGGCTGGCAGCCACCCCAGGACACTTCACTGATGGAAGACTGAAACATAGCACATACTTTTTCCGAAAAAGAGTCCTATTTACTTGTCCAGGTGCTTTGGCCTGACAAATTTTGGTCTACCATATTCATAAAGGCCAGCGGAGGCATTCCTAAGGAACAGAGGCCAGGGATGCAGTCTTTGGGCTCTCCCTCTGCCCTGCTCCAGCCTTCTGGTATCTCCCAGAAAGGAGTTTATACCCTTGTCTGGTGCTCCATTTTTTGCCGCTGCTGCCAGGGGACATCTCTATATCACCCGGCTCTGGAACCCAGCAGAGCTTATGTACACTGGCCCCTCAAGAATATAAAAAACAGAAAAAATGTCATTAAACAGAAACTGCCCTCAGGGCACAGCAAGGAGCAGGAGGCCCAGGAGCTCAGTCTCTCTGTGAAAGAGGCTTACAGCTTATCACTGCAGCTGCTGCCTGAGGGGCAGGCTTCTACTATAACACACATCTAAGGGCTCGCCACAACCTACCCAGAGGTCTCAGAAGATAGGCCCTATCTAACACTCTCTTTACTGCATCTGGTCCACCAGTGTCTCTGGGTGGGGGGTTCCTCATGTCTGATGCGCCTGGTTTACATCCAGTACCTCAGCTTCTGTTGCTGCTCAACAAGGGACTCTCCTTCATCGACTGGCTCTCAAACAGTGTCGACTGGAGGCACCTTCTTTGAACTCTCTCTGTCTTACCACAGCTCACTGGTACCTCCCAGAAAGGAGCTTATACACTTGGCATCTAGAGTCCTGGTTTTCCCAACTGTTGCACAAAAGACACTTCCAGATCACCTAGCCTGGAGGCTGGTAAGGTTTATGATGGTGGTCCCACAGGACTCTATACACTTGCATATTTTAAAACCTGCTGTCTGAGGTCTTATTTCAATTTGCCAGAAATTAGATGCTGACTAAGCTTCTGCCATTTGGAACACTGACAGGTCTTGGCACACCCACAACAACAGGAAGCTATGAAAAATAAAACAGGATGATTGGACATCATAAAGATTTGAGAGAAAACCAAGAATTAAGGCAAGGATAAACAATAAGTTTCATCTTCCACATGAGGCCACTCTTTCAAGATGGGGAAAAGTAACTGTTTCACCCAATTCATAGAAAACACACAGATAATCAAGCAAAATGGAGACAAAAAAGAATATGTTAAGAACAGAAAAACAAGTGAAAACCTCAGAAAAAAATTTGATAAAACAGAGATAAGTAATTTTCCTGATAAAGATATCAAAATAATGGTCCTAAAGGTGCTCTTCAAACTCAGGAAGAAGAGATGAACACATTGAGAATTTCAACAAAGAGGTATAAAGTTTAAGAAAGTACCAAATGGAATACACAGAGCTGAACAAAACAATAACTGAACTGAAAAATACACTCCAGGGGTTCAACATCTGATGAGATGAAGCAGAAGAAAGGATCAGTGCCCTCAAGGACAGGACAGTGGCACATACCCAAACAGAGCAGCAAAAAGAAAAAAGAATTATAAAAAGTCACCATACCTTGAGACAACATCAAATAGAATAACATCCACATTATAGGGGTACCAGAAGGAGAAGAGGGAGAGAAAGGGACAAAAAATTTATATTTGAAGAAACAATGACTGAAAACTTTCCTAACCTTGGGAAGGAAACAGACATCCAGATCCAGGAAGTCCTGAGAATTCTAATAGGATGAACCCAAAGAGATCCACACTCAGATGCAGTATAATTAAAATGTCAAAAATTACAGATAAAGAGAAAATCTTAAAAGCACCATGACAAAACCAACTTGTTTCATGCAAGGGAACCAACATATTAATATCAGCAGATTTTTAAACAAAACCTTCGCAGCCAGAAAAGAGAGGCACAATTTATTCAAAGTGCTGATAAAAAAAAAACGGTTTCCACCAAGAATACTTTACCTGGGAAAGTTTTCATTTAGAATTGAGGAAGAAATAAAGAATTTTCAGGACAAGCATAAGCTAAAAGTGTTCATCACCACTAAACCAGCCTTACAAGGAATGTTAAAGGGACACCTTTAAGCTGAAAAAAGGCACTAATTAGCAACAACAAAACATATGA